CACATAAAGTTTTTCATTACAATAACAAAGAAATTGAAATTGTTAAACATTTTAAATATCTAGGAATCATATTCTCAACAACAGGCTCATTTATTAAGACAAAACAGTATGCTACTGAAAGAGCAACGAAAGCTATGTATGGTATTTTTGAAAAAGGGTAACCAATTACATCTTTCTCTATATGACCAATTGTATTTGTTTGACAAGATTGTAGTTCCAATTTTATTGTATGGTTGTGAAGTGTGGGGTTATGGTAATGTTCAAATGGTAGAAAGAGTACATTTAAAATTCTGTAAAATGCTTTTTCATTTAAAACCAAGTACTCCAAATTTTATGATTTATGGTGAATTAGGTAGAGTACCTTTAATTATACATATTAAAACTAGAATTATTGCATACTGGTCAAAAATTCTACATGGAAAACAATCAAAATATTGTTTTTTAATGTATAAATTACTCCGTGCAAAATTTGATAATGGACATGAATCTAAATGGTTAAAGAATTTGAAATCAATTTTAGACAATTGTGGATATAGTAATATTTGGAATCAGAATCAATTATTTAATAGAACTTGGCTTATTAAAAGTTTGAAACAAAAATTACTAGATCAGTTTCAACAAAATTGGAATTCAACCTGTAATGATTCTTCAAAAGGTGCGACATATAAACTATTTACAAATTTACACTTTGGATGCCAATTTTATGTAGATAGCGGCTTAAGTAATTATAAGAAACAAATTTTAGCTAGATTTAGAACAGCAAACCATATTACCAATTGAAACAGGAAGATGGGAAGGTACTGAAAGAATTAATAGAATATGTCTTTTATGTAAAAATGATCTTGGGGACGAATTCCACTATATATTATCATGTGAAAAGTTAAAAGATGAAAGAAAATTGTATATTCCGAAATATTATTTATCAAGACCAAATGTTATAAAGTTTAGTGAATTGTTTTCTTCGAAAAATATTGGGCTATTAAGTAAACTTTGTTCATTTATTAAAATTGTAAACGAGAGAGTCAGACCTCCAGGTTAACATCATTGTAAATTATAATATGAAACTAGAAACTCTTGTTGCTACAGCAACAAAGAAGGTCTTCCGTTCTCCTCTATTTATCTATATGAATGAGCTATTATCTATGTTAAAAAGGCATATAATATTTTAAATGATTTCAGGAAAACAAACAGCCAAAGGTGTAACTTACCAAGATTCTTTACATTACTTTAGACAATTATAGTCTTGATACCATGTACAAAAATCATTTTCAATTTTTTTTATCACTTCCTGTGACGACCGCAAGTGACGGTGGACGCATTGTACCCTGTATTTGTTGCCCAATCTTCATGGTTTTTTATTCATATAAGTTTAGTGTCTTGATCTGTTACACTTTAAGAGATCTCGTAATATTATCTTCTCATTTTGAGGACATTTAATCACGTGACCGGAAGTAAATTTTTGAAAAGATATTTGAGGTTACTCTAGATATTTCAGTCTAAATAACATGTCCTAAGATCACGCAACCGGAAGTGATTTTTTTAAAGATAGTTGGCGTTACTTAAGACAGTTACAGTCTTAATAACATATCCAAAAATCATTACAAATACTGCATCTATAAAAAAATATTTACTGGAAAGAAAAATACTCAAATTATGAAGCTTTTCTCTTATAACTGGAAGTTGTCTTCTTTGTTTCCGGTATTACTGACTTATTTCAAAACTACAAATAAGATGCTATTATGTGGTAAAAAAAAGTTTCCATAAGGGAAAGTTGAATTTTTGGACTTCTTTGATCACTTCCTGTGACGACTGGAAGTGACGACAGACGATCTTATCAACCATGGAATTGCTAACTCATCAGGATATACCACTTGCCAAAGTTTGGTGTCTTAATCTCTTACTGTTTCAGAGATCTAACTATAATAATTTCTCATCTTGAGGACAGGAAATCACACGCAACCGGAAGTGAATTTAAAAAAAAATAGTTGATGTTGCTGTAGACATTTGCAGTCTGAAATAACATATCCAAAACAGTTGCAAACACTTTATCTATAAAAAATATATATTGGAAAGAAAATATTCAAATTATTCAGTTTTTCTCTTATAACCGGAAGTTGTCGTTTTTGTTTCCAGTGAAGCTGATATATTTTGAAAATACAAATAAAGCGCTATAATGTGATGCAATAAACGTTCCATAAAAGAAAAGATGAAATTTCCGATTTTTTTACCACTTCCTGTGACGACCGGAAGTGACGGCGGACAATCTTAACCCATATGTTTTTCCCTTTTCGTCAAGATATACCACTCCTATAAATTTGGTGTCTACATCTCTTACCGTTTCAGAGATATAGCTATAAGAACTGTTCATTTTGAGGACAGGAAATCACGCGACCGGAAGTGAATTTTCCAAAGATATTTGACGTTTCTGTAGTCATTTGCAGTCTGAATAACATATCTAAAAATCATTTCGAAAACTTTATCTATAAAAAATATTTATGGGAAAGAAAAATACTGAAAATATGCAGTATTTCTCTAATAACCGGAAGTTGTCGTTTTTATTTCCGGTGGGACTGACATATTTCGAAACTACGAGTAAGATGCTATAATCTGATGCTAAAATACTTTCAAAAAAGAAAATTTGAAATTTTCGATATTTAAGAACACTTCCTGTGACGACCGGAAGTGACGGCGGACAATCTTAACCCAATTGGATTTGCCTACTTATCAAGATCTATCATCCCTGTAAGTTTGGTGCCTTTATCTCTTACCGTTTCTGAGATCTCACTCGGATTAAATATTTTTGAGAAAAGCGGAAATCGGACATATCTGACGACCGGAAGTGATTTTTGAAAAAATGAACAAAACGTCTCGGGGTATTTTTATTCTCTATCATCCCTGAAAATTTCAGGAAAATCCGTCCAGCCATCTCTGAGAAATCCTGCCGACAAGATTTGGGGAAAAAAATAATAATAAGAATAATAATAAGAAAAAACAGTAGAATCACTATAAGGTCTTCCGTCTGAAACGGAAGACCTTAAATATTTGATTATATTAATAAGCACACTTTGTATATATGTTATATGTAATGCTCACGCATGTATGTATATATGTTATAATAATATGTATGATCTCTATGTTGTTAAAATAACAACGAAAGAGATGTTAATAATAAACTGGTGGTAAACTTCATGGCCACAACTTAAGTACAGGAGAGTTATCTTCCCTCAAGCTTGACGTTTCTATACTACTAGTATGGAGATTAACCAGAAGTCTCTGTAGAGACTGAAGCTCTACTGGTTTGTACTTATAGCAAAGGAAGAGAAAAGTACTTAAGCAGTTGGAAATTGAAACTTTTCAACAGCAATAAATAGAATAATGATCCTTGATTAAGTCTCTTTATGTTCTTAGTGCAGTCTACTTGCATGCCACATTTATATTATAATCAAACTAAAATTGTATTTGGAGTAGCATTTTGAAAGAATTTCACAGAAATTTCTATTTTTAGTAACCACGGGAACACCGTTCATCGAAATCAAAAACCGATACACAGAATTGTGTATCTTAGTGTAGTCTACTTGTGTGCCAAGTTATATTGAAATCAGACTAAAACTGTAGGAGGAGTAGCATTTTGAAAGAATTTCACAGAAATTTCTATTTTTAGTAACCACGGCAACACCGTTCATCGAAATCAAAAACCGATACACAGAATTATGTATCTTAGTGTAGTCTACTTTTGTGCCAAGTTATATTGAAATCAGACTAAAACTGTAGGAGGAGTAGCATTTTGAAAGAATTTCACAGAAATTTCTATTTTTAGTAACCACGGCAACACCGTTCATCGAAATCAAAAACCGATACACAGAATTATGTATCTTAGTGTAGTCTACTTTTGTGCCAAGTTATATTGAAATCAGACTAAAACTGTAGGAGGAGTAGCATTTTGAAAGAATTTCACAGAAATTTCTATTTTTAGTAACCATGGCAACACCGTTCAACAAAATCAAAAACCGATACACAGAATTATGTACCTTAATGTAGTCTACTTCTGTACCAAGTTATATTGAAATCATACCAAAACTGTAGGAGACATAGCATTTTGAAAGAATTTCACAGAAATTTCTATTTTTAGTAACCACGGCAACACCGTTCATCGAAATCAAAAACCGATACACAGAATTATGTATCTTAGTGTAGTCTACTTTTGTGCCAAGTTATATTGAAATCAGACTAAAACTGTAGGAGGAGTAGCATTTTGAAAGAATTTCACAGAAATTTCTATTTTAGTAACCATGGCAACACCGTTCATCAAAATCAAAAACCGATACACAGAATTATGTATCTTAGTGTAGTATGCTTTTGTGCCAAGTTATATTGAAATCAGACTAAAACTGTAGGAGGAGTAGCATTTTGAAAGAATTTCACAGAAATTTCTATTTTTAATAACCACGGCAACACCGTTCATCGAAATCAAAAACCGATACACAGAATTATGTATCTTAGTGTAGTCTACTTGTGTGCCAAGTTATATTGAAATCAGACCAAAACTGTAGGAGGAGTAGCACTTTGAAAAATTGTTTACAGACAGACAGACAGACAGATGGACAGACGGACAGACAGACAGACAGACGGACGGACGACGGACGCATTACTATCGCATAAGCTCTTCTGGTCTCTGACCAGTAGAGCTAAAAATATACAGTACACCTTTGCCATATACAAATTAAAGAAAAAGGGAGGAAGGACATATTAGATCCAGATTTCTGCTGCAAGATCCCATGTCATCTCGAAATGGAACACTAACAATTTCATGGTCCACTCCCTGAGATTAAAAGGGGATAAGGACCCCTCAATCAATTATTCTCATCAAGGCTTTTAATTTTAAGTTTTAATATAAAGTAAGGATTTGTTAACAGTTTGCTTCCATACAACAATGCTACTTTACTAACTGCCCGTTTGTAAAACCTCTGAACTGTTCCTTAGTACAACAAAAAACTAGGTGCTGCATGGTTTTATAATAAATTTATTGTTCTGCATGTTTGCTATGATACCCGCATCAAGCTATAAGCTAGCTTCTGTGTATGACAACACATCAAGCTATGTATGTACAAAAACAGGTCTGCATCGTAAAGATACTTGCATGGAAATGTCATTTACATTTCTCTAATTAAGGTAAATGTATTTAATGAACCAAAAATTTAAAAGTCATACACACAAGATACTTCTTAATAAAGTAGCACACCTCACAAAATACAGAGAAATCCATATAAACACTTCTTCTCATCCATAAACACAAACAAAATAAATCAGAAATAAAGACAGTCATTAATAGAAACACAATCACGCTTAACTAGCACTGAATGGACACAGGATTTCATAAAAAGTAAAAATTCAAAGACGGAAAATCCTACAGCATAATGAACACATGGGAATATATATATTTTATATACATAACATTATTATCACAATTCTGTGTACATCTTGGCATACACAAAAATCTTGCATGTCTGAATTCAAGATATAATCATCTGAATTCAAGATATAATCATCTGGGATAGAGAATACAGGTCAGTTATTTATACGTATCTCTGTTCACACAATCGGCCAGGGTACGTATCTTAATTTCTGTATCACATTTAACATAAAAACTTCATCATTTTAAATATTCATAACATTTCAAAGAGCTCTCAATACTGATGTAGCTATCTAACTATAAATAACAACGGATTTCTTTGTAAAATGAAAGTTATTGTTACAGGTTGTGAATCGTGGCCAAAGTTAATATCTGGCCATCCGACCATCACAGAGGGAAACACCATAGCATGTACCACTAAATAAAAGTAAATGAAGAGCGATGGGCTGATATTTGTATCATATTGGTCAGAGACATCTAAGATGACAGAATTCAATCATCTGGGTTAATCAAGATCCTGTTTACTGAAACTTGAAACATGTGGATGCTAGAATTGAAATAAGAAAGGGGTCTTTGGGGTTACATCTAGTGGTGAGCAGCACCCTGACATCAACATAGAGTGGGAGGACTGTCTTGTATGATCGGTACCATACTTAGTTACAAAGGAACCACTTTCCACCTGTAATGACCATTAGTGGTCTGATTCAGACTTATGACCTCTGTATTGACCAGGAGTGGTTGAAGGACAGGACTTTGACCACTGTAATAACCATTATTGGTCTAAGGACAGACTTTTGACCTTCAAAATGACTGTTACTGGTCCAAGGACTGAGTTTTAAGCTCTATAATAACCTTCCTTGTTCTGAAGACAGAGTTTTAACCTCCATAATATTTACTGGTCTGAGGACAGACTTTTGACCTCTGTAATGACTAACATAGGCGTCTCTTCCTCTCCATTAGGATCCTCCAGGTCCTGTGTCAATGGTTTGATCTCGGGGACCTCTGAGGTGACTATTTTACCCGTGTTTGACATAGGTACCTCCACTATGGGGTTAGAGTTCAGTCTGTAGACAGTCATCTTCCCGGAGTCATCGTACTCGTCAGCGATGATCACTTTGTCATCCTCACTGTCCACATTATTCAGGGCTTCACTTTTCAGACTCGGAGAATTACTGACTATTCTGCCCTCCTGAACAGAGTAGCTCCCACTGTATTCCGACTTCTTGAACAAACTAGGAAGGTCACCGATTTCAAAGCTAAAATCATCACTCGGGTTAACCTCATGAATCTGCTTTCTACGATTTTTTTCTTCGCGTCTCATCAGATCTTCGCAGATTTCGTGTTCCTCCTCTGCATAGTCTATATATATGTCTGGACGGCTAGATAAGTTCTCCTTGGTCCGGGCTAGTTCCTGATTTTTAGCCATGGATCTGACCTGTTCCGAGGACACCATTTGTATTGGTACCGGTCCGTTAGAGTTAGACGTCAGGACAGACCTGGGAGGTCTGGAGATAACACCAGGCCTGGTAAACGCGGAATTTAACCGGACTGAACTGGGAACGGATGATCCCGATGCGGCTCGACGATCCATGGCTCGCTTCTTCAGAATGGCCGGCATGTTCAGGAATATCTTCTTGCAGACTTTAGAGATCTTGTCTAGGTGAGCCTGTAGAACCATCCATGACATTCCTCTATCTTGGATGATAAATTCTGAAATCATAGTCATACAGTTGAATAACTTCAGAGCACAAGAACTATAGTTAACCTTTCAGGTTATAAAGATATCCCTTAACTCATTTTAACTAACTTTTTACTCTTGGCTTTGCACATTTTGACTTAATGTATTATACTAACCTTTCAGACTCTTTAGTTTAGACTGCAGTTGTACATTCCGGGCCTGAGTAGACTGTTTATCACTCGCCATCATACGACTTATCTCCTCCATGTGTTCAATCTTCTCTTTGGCCTGTCAAGAAATAAAAATCAAATTTCCAAATAAATATTATAGATCACATTTTGAAATGCGGCCTAGGAATTCAGAAATGGTTTGTTAAAAATCATGGAAAAATTGACAAACCTTTCTCATATTTTAAGAAACTATGTTTGACACAATGGTTTTGAAAATGCACTTGATTGAAGACCCATATTTTACTTAAATGAGGAGGTGTACTTGGTTTTTAAGGCTGAGGATATATTTCAAATCTTATTGAGGAATTATACTTTAAGTTTGGAATAGTTGAGGATTTATACTTAACCACACACAGTAGTCGTATTTTTGATCAATACATGATTAGTGGATTACATAATTTACCTTATCAATGGAGCTGTACTTTGTGCTCAGTATGGTTAAGGACCTATACTTTACCTTATTGAGGAGCTGTACTTTGGGCTACATGTTGTACTTTACCTTATTGAGGAGCTGTACTTTGGGCTACGTGTTATACTTTACCTTATTGAGGAGCTGTACTTTGGGTTCTGTATTGTACTTTACCTTATTGCGGAGCTGTACTTTGGGTTCTGTATTGTACTTTACCTTATTGAGGAGCTGTACTTTGGGCTACGTGTTGTACTTTACCTTATGAAGGAGCTGTACTTTGGGCTCTGTATTGTACTTTACCTCGTTGAGGAGCGTACTTTGAGTTCTGTGTGGTTAAGGACCTATACTTTACGTTATTGAGGAGCTGTACTTTGAGTTCAGTGTGGTTGAGGACCTATACCTTATTGAGGAGCTGTACTTTGGGCTCAGTGTGGTTGAGGACTTTACCTTATTGAGGAGCTGTACTTTGGGCTCTGTGTGGTTGAGGACCTATACTTTACCTTATTGAGGAGCTGTACTTTGAGCTACGTGTTGTTCTTTACCTTACTGAGGAGCTGTACTTTGGGCTTGGTGTGGATGAGGACTTTACCTTATTGAGGAGCTGTACTTTGGGCTCGGTGTGGTTGAGGATTTGTGAGTACTTGGTGTCATCTTTGTCCTCTCCATACATAGACTCAGCCAAGGCCTTAAAGGAAATCCTCATCTCCTCACGACGCTGCTTCTCCCTGTTGATAAAAAATCCAAGTGATGACTCATCATGTGAGGCAGGAAACTGACAGTTTCTTTACAACTTAAGACATTATAAATCACAAAACAAGTCTTCCTTTTCAAATTGAATAAGCTTTCTTTTTTTAAAAAAATCATAGCATTATTATTTTGTTCAAATTGATTCATGTCATACTTACCTATAAATCCAAAAATTTAAGAATGCTTTATAATTTTCTCTTAAAGGATACAACTGATAGAGAAGAGAAAAAAATCTAACTTGTTTTTCTTCATTTGAATTCTCCTGGTTTTGGGGTCCTCCAGCACACCCTGGAATTAAACAAAAAAATCTCTCTGTGAAATGTGGGTCTCTTCATTCATAGAAAGAAACAACTGTTTTAATGAGAATAAATGACAAAAAGTAATTTATGTTTGAAATGTTCTCCTGATTCTGACCTCTCTGAAGTGGAAGTCGTCTTTGAGTACGATGGTCTTGTGGCTGGTTTTGCGTTTGGCGTGGGGTTTCTTGTTGATACAGTGGACGTTACAGTTCGGGTTGAAGTACTCCCACCTGGTGTCTGATTGCTTCCTCAGGAGTTTGTTCATGTTGACGTCCGTCTCTGTCTCTATGTCTATCTCCTCCTGTTAAATGGTCAGATCAGCCATTAAAACATTGGTTAGGAGGAAGGTATAGATGTAACAGTTTGCTTTCTTAATATGATTCTTTACCTCAGTAACAAATAACAGTACAAAGTCTTCAACAAATTTCTTATATAAAATTTATATCTGAAATTTTCTTAGAAGCTAGGTCTTTTATAACTTGATTAAATTATATTTGCTCTGGATTATTCATGGAATAATCTTGATTAATTCTGGGATCTTCATGTTAAGGCCTAACATATATGGAATACTAAAAAAGATACTTTCCATCATCATGAAACTTAGTAAAGAAATTTCAAAGAAACTTATGTATTTGTACAAGTGTATAGATTACATGTACAGACTTACATCTGATGAGTTGATGATTTCCACACAGTCCTCGTTAGGTATGATGACAGCCATATCATCTGTGTCCTCCACCGTCATACACAGGTCCTCCTCACTGTCCTCAGCCTTGTCCTCGGTCCGCGACCTCTTGTTACCCTCATTGTCCTCCTGGGACAGACATCGCTTCAGTGATGATACCCTCTCCTCAGAAATCTCACCAGCGTCTGTACCATCCCCTGCCTCGCTGGACTCTGCATTGGATTTGTCTGGATAATTTTGATTCACATTATCAAACACAGTAGATGTTCTTCCTGATGGTTTTTTCACAGGTGAATCAGAAATATAAATAACGTCCTGTTCTGCAGTTTTTTCAGTGTTCTGTTCTCTGTCACTGTTGTTGAGCTGTTCCTCTGGTTCTGTCGTCTGATCCTCTTTAGATTTCCCGTCAGCCGTGTCTGTTTTGTCTGCCTTCTCTCCCTCAGGATCTTTCTGTTCTGCATCGATTCCTCCGACCACGGTGGCATCCGATTCGTCACTCTTATCACAGCTGGAGTCCAGGTCTGCCCCTGTGTGGAGGCCCCTGTTGTCTGGACTACCACACTCACTCTCTGAGTCTGCTTCCCGCGTCTTCTCTTTGTCCTCTGGGTCTTTAAGCTCCTCTTGTCCCTTTACAGAATTACCTGAGTTACCTGATTCTGTGTTTTTCGAGTCTTCATCTTTACTGCCTACAACATTTTCTTTATAACTGGTAGATGATGGTGTGTCCTCTTTCTTGGTGTCCTCCTTCACCACGTCAGCCTTGATGTCTCTGTATTTACTGTAGGTCTCTTTAACGGAGTCAGAAAGGAGGATCTTGGCCAGCACACTCTGACTCTCTCTCATACTACCTCCTCCCTCTGTGGGTTTTTTGTCCTCACTGTCACTGGTTTTTAATTTCTTTCTCTCCTCCTCTCTCTCCTCCTCAAGCTTTCGCTTCACAGGAACACTTTCATCCTTTGATTGCTGAGGGACTTCGTTCACTTCCTTGCTCCCTTCAGTACTGCTGCACTCTTCAGTGACTTTTCTGTTTGAGTCCTCTGCCTTCTTGTTCTGGTCATTCACACTTCTCTGGTTATCACACACCTTGAGCTTGTTTGTTAGGAGTTTCAGATTCTGTTCATCACTGGACACTAGAAGGATCTGGTCTCCCAGTTTAGGCAGTAGTGGCCCCTGGACTTTCTCTGACATGGCTGGTACTGTGCTCTGAGTGACCGTGGTGGACGCGTTAGAGACGTGAGCGACGTTGGTCGTGGTAGTAGACACATCCGACAAAGTAAACACGTTCGTTGGATTCTTCATCTCCCCCACAGTTCCTGCTGGTGCCCCTGAATTTACTAAAGGCGAGCTCTTCAGAACTGAGGTCATTGGAACTGGTTTGGAATACACCGGTCCAGGAAAAGGAACAAGATGGATGACAGGCTTTCCATCCTTATCCTGGATGATCTTCATCTGAGGCAGAACTTTAGGGATACTGGAGGGGGAAGTGAAGGGACCCAGTAATGTCACGGGGGAAGACTTGGGACCCAGGACGCAGACCTTCTCCTGAACCTGAGTCATACTGAGGCTGGCGGGAGGTCGAAGGTCGTGAACCTGCATAGTGTTGCTATTGACAGGCACTTTAGTTTCAGTGGAAGAAAGAACAGGTGTTGCTAGGTATAATGGTTTGGCTACGACTGGTGAAGAAGAGGAAACTGTCTTATTTTGGAGGACAGAGTGAAGAGAGACTAAGGTAGACTTGTTGACCGCTGGCTGGATAGATTGACCCGAGGACTGTTTTATCACGGATATAGTCGTTAGTGGTTTATCGGTGGTGATTGAAGTGGTTGCTGTGATCACTGAGGTAGCTGTAACATTAATGGGGTTTGATGTTGGATGAGTTTGACTAGGAGCCACCGTGGAGGTGGTTATTGCACCAAGTCTGGCAAAGACCTCACTCCCTTTTACTAATGTTGAGATGATGGGAGTACTAACTAATGGTTTCTCTGAACTCCCCACTTCTGAAGGAATGAAAGAACCTGGTATAATGTTCATCATAGATTTTAATGTTTGGACAGAAGGCTGCTCAATGCTTGTTATCACAGAGACTGAAGATTCTTGATTTTTAATGTTGCTAATTTTTGTTGATGGTATGGATGTCAGGGATGAAGTAGTGGTCACCTGAGGAGCTGCAGACGACACTGTAATGGAGGGTGATACTTTAGGGACAGTCGGGAGGACTTTGGTCACCGTGGCAGTCTGGGGGTTCACTGTCACGGTCTGGGCGGTCATTGCCCCAGTCTGAGGGGTCACAGTCGCTGTATTGGGGATGACCAGTCTACCCCCACTGCTGTGTATGGTTATTGTTGAGGCGATGGTTGATAAAGGACTGTGAATCTGTGAGGGCTTCATCTGAGTCATTTGTTGGGTGGAGATCGGGTGAAGATGAGATCGGTCTGTGGGGGAGCTTCCGTCCTTGTTGACGATGGAGCGGTTATTGATCTGAAGCCGACTGAAGCCTGATATTCCCGTCACACCCAGGCTGGGTTTGTTGATTTCTCCCTCACTGGTCGGAACATTCACGGGCTGTGGGGGCTTGTTTACAATGTTTATTTTCTCTGACATTGAGCTCAAGACATTCTTGTTCTTCACTGTATTATCTAATGGAAGTGCCTTAAACAGTTTAGGGAAATTTAAATCCCTGGCAGAAATTCTGACTCGAATGGAGAATATTGCTGAAGGCATGTTGTTCCTGACTTCGGGAGGAATAGTGGCGGGTTTGCTGGACTTTGGGAGGAACTCGATCTCGAACTCCCCGATGTGTATGAGGCAGGGCTGAGGGTAGCTGTCCACCTGACCCTCTGGCTGGTTTTTGTGGTGGATGTGTCGGGAGATCCGGGAGAGTATCTTCTGTTTGTGAGGTTCCCAGTTACTGTTAGACAGGATTTCTAGCAGTTTGACAGAGTCCCCTTCTGTTGGGGGTTTGTTGCTCTTCAGACACACCCACTGGGTTTGCCAGACAGCTTCAGTCTACGAAGAAAAAAAATATATCAATAAAATGTTAAGCCATCCCTTGATCAGAGGCCTTGAATTATGAGAAATTTGAACTTATAATATATATAAATATTCAAGGCTGAAACAAATTTAAAATATAGAACCAATTTAGCCCAATCCATGGACTTAATATTTGATTTCTTGCAAGTCTGTATTGTGTTTATTGACTTACTATAGGTTTGCCAATGAGTCTGTCTGTTTTACTTACTATGGGTTTTCCCGTGAGCCTGTGCTGTAGTGCGGACAGTCCACTACTGGCCATCTGACCGCCGCCCTGGGGGGGACACGGGGAGGAGATAGCCCGACTCTGGACGTGGTCCTTACCACACGTACACTTCTTAGGGTGGTACCTGTCAAAACAAAACTCTAATTACTTTTTGTCTAATTTTAATATTATTATTAATTTTTGCTGAATATTGAATACTACGGGTGCAAGATGTTTCGGGACCACGACGTTTCGGGACCTGACAAATACGACGTTTCGGGACTAGCGACAAGACGGTTCGGGACTTGGGTAAAGACGATTCGGGACTTGTGTTAATTTTTTTTCGGGATCTCAACAAATTATTTTATTATGGTGATATAGAATAAAAAAAAATTATTATTCTAAGTACACATATACGTAATATTTCAAGCTTAATCCGAATTTTAATATTTATAATAAAAAGTGTCATAAAGATATACTTTAATGTGTTTTTTTCCATAACAGACGAATAAGAATAAATCTTTACAAAATTCATTTTTATTTCTAAAAATCTTATCAAATTTTTTTATTAGTTATTTTTTCTTGAGTGTGTGGTAAGGGGGTGGGGCATACTTTAAGCTTCTCAGGTTGATGATATATATTTCAAAAATATTCAGGTGATTTCCAGCTACTGTTTTATATCTTCAAAAAATATGTCAGTAAATTGTTAAAACAACAACTAAGGTCAGGTGTTGGTGTTACGTACATGTATAAAAACACCGCCGGTAATTGGCAACTTAAAAGATTGTATGGTTTCTTTTGAAAATATTTGAAAATAAAATTCTAAAAATATGGAAAAAATATCGTTTTCTTTATTGGTAAATGAAATAATTTAGAATCAAACAATATTTATAAAATAGCAATGATTTTCCCATCATCAAAATATAAAGGTTTTCAATATGTTTTGAACTTGATTTTGTCTATTTTTTCCCAAACGGTTTCAAATATTTTTTTTTCAAAAAATGTTTCCAAAACATTGTCAACGATCATAGGCAGTTATGCCTGCTGTTCAATCCATTTCTATGAAAAATATATTTGAAACTAAACATTGTAAACAAACATATTTTACAAATGTTGCGAGAACATTTTCCCAAGATTTAAAAAGAAATGCCATACTTTAAAAAGCATTAAATGGTATAAACACCAAGATTTCATTTGATATCGTTTCAAATAATGTCTTTAAAAACATTTTAAATTTCATCATAGCTTTATCTATTTAATATGGTTAGGTCGAAATTTGAAATTTAAGTTGACCTGTTAACGTTGTCATTTTTTTAAAGGAAACAAAACATCTGGAACGTACAAGTAACATGAAAAATTTGATATTTGCAAATCAAATAATATTTAGTATTTATGTACCAGTATCATTAACAGTGTGTCATGTGCCTAATTATGTAACACCACATAATATTACGCACTGGTCGGGTATCTACAGTGGACCCTCATTTATCCGGACGCTTTGGTTCCCAGTCAATTTGTCCGGATATGTGAAGCATCCGGATATCTGAATCACCAGTTAAACAAGACAGAATAACATTTTAAAATTTCGTTCCGATGAAAAACCATCCGGATACTGAAGCATCCGGATATCTGGCGTCCGGATATCTGAAGGTCCACTGTACATCGATAATTGAGTTTCATTGAGATTTGTAGTCTGTGTATACACATTAAACATAAATTCAGACGTACCCATATCATTGTAGACAAATTAACAATTTTGATAGCACAATAATATGTAACGGGAATATTTGGGACTTTCGAGGGATTAATTTTTTTAAAATGATAATTATAAATTCTATAAATTGATGTTTAAAAAGTTGAATATGGAACATTTCAGATTATGATTTAAAACAACTACCCGTAAAACGTAAAGATTTTACTGCTCGTGTGCTAGCTTGAGCCTTTGTAAATTCTGTAAACAAATATGAAATTAAATACCTAAAATTATTATTATTAAAGAGAGAAAGAAATCTTAGAACGAAAAACATGTCCGTGGTCTTTACACAGCAGTTACGACTGTATTCTACAAACTCTCGTATCAAACACTATAAATAAATCAAATACATATTTAAAAAAATATTTTTTGAATGAAATTTTGGTCAATTGTTAACCATCTATTTTATAAAGGTAATATATCAAATAATGAAATAAGAAATTAAAGAGACAACACCGCGGGCGTTTGATTTTATCGGCAGGCCTGCTCCATGCCGCATGCAAACTTTAACTCCATTCTGTGCTTTTTAAATTATAAATTGTGTATCAAATTAAGAAATTATACATGTATAAACTTAAAAACACAAGTAAACAAGTTTTATTTCATTTCCTTAACAAAATATTTAGAAGTCCCGAAACGTGTTAGCCCAAGTCCCGAAACGTGTTAACCCAAGTCCCGAAACGTGTTGTCAGGTCCCGAAACGTCGCGGTCCCGAAACATCCAGAATTCAATACTACAGACATCTGAAAACTTACATTGAACTTTTGAATGTCATTCATTCTCATATATTAAGAACCAATAATACTTTTTAGCAATGTGATGATCAGTAGAGTTGTGTATGTGCAAAATTTAGTTAATATTCAAATGAATTTGTAGCATTCCAACATCTCTCCCATCCCTAAATTTACTGGTTATGACCTACTGTATAAGTAGAATTTTTAGCAAGGATTTAATTTTGGCATTATTAGCAAGGGTGCCAAGATCGCTAAAATTTAATATCGCTAAAAATTAATTGCATTTTATTTGTTATAACTTCTTTAACGTGCATTTTAAAAATGCTAAAATAAATTACCAGTTTTCGGGACAAATCGCTAAATTTGCGTCTCGCTAAAATTTCCACTTATACGGTATCTATGTAAAAATCCTTACCCCCTGGTGTATTGAGCGTCCACTCTGGCACAAGAGACCACTTCCAGAATATCCTCATTCTCCGAGTCTGACTCAAACAGCGCCATCTCACTGTCGTCCACTGCCTTCTTAGACTGAGGCTGAAATAAAGAGTCTACTGTTACAGAAAAATACTGAGAACATTTAATGAGAAATAATCATTATGCATCAGGTTTAAACAGCATTTTCAATTCAAATGATTTTATAATAAACCATTGATTAATTTAACTTGAACACACTTTTGTTCCAAGTATGTAAAATGATCAAAAGTTTGGTCCTCTGCTGTAACTATACTTGTGAGCAAAATTTGAAGATCACATATAAATCTTCAGATAAACATGTCAGAAGAACAGACCTTCAGTGCCATTGCAGCCTTGCGGTACATTTCTGTCTGTATGGGGGCCGGTTTGACCCTGGGCTGAGGGACAGAGAGTGTGACCGGTCCAGACATGGGGAGGCCCGGGGAGGGCACCAGGGCTACCGTCACCTGAGGTTTCTTCTGAGGGAGGGGTGCAGCGGCGCTCACTTCTGTCCGGGGAATACTTGTTACTGCTACAACAGAAACACGAAAACTTTAAGAAGAAGAAATCTCTGTTTACTTAAAGGCAGTTGAGTTTTGTTTTAATCTTGACATTTATGATTTGGTCTGGATCTACTTTATGTGTACATGAATTGGCGTATTTGAAATTTAGCAGAATCAAGGGGTATAGAGTTGTTAGCATAAACATGAATTAGCATGGAACTACACATGTTCATGCCTTGTTTTGTATTAGTAAATGATTTCTTAGCAGAATTCAGTATAAGCACATTTTTGTCTGCACAAAGCCGCTAAAATATGAAGCCCACTTTTTTAGTACACATACAGTATCTGAATAAAAAAATATCCATAATATACAACTTAATTAAATCCTTTTTCCACAAAAATAATACATGATACTTCTTACCCTGTTGTTTTCCAGCATGTTCTATGGTAAAGTTAGGAATCTGGATTTCATTGGAGTCCTACAAACAATAGAATATTATTTTAGTAGTCAATACATTATACAAGTTATTTCAACATATACAGTCAAACTTTGTTATCTCAAATTCAACAGGACCAAGAAGATAAGAGATATCCAAAGATTCAATATATATGGAAGGTTTTTTTTTCAAATACTATAGTAATTTTGAGATAACCATTGTATTTAAAATATCCAAGTTCAAGATACAGGACAACTGTATTACAAATTATTTGAAAGGAAGATCAACACATTTAAAGTTAAGGAAAATAATCTATATAGAAGAAAGACAATAAAGTTTACATTTTTTTCTTAATACTGATGGTAGATATACTGTAAACGTATTACATTTAGCGGTGTATTCTTTTTAGCAATTTTGGCAGAAAGCAGAGTTCGCTAATTCAAGTACATCGCTAAATGTTTTGTATATTAACTTTTATGACTAGAAAAGTCAGACAGCGCAAAATCAAATCTATGCTTACTTGTTGAAAATTAAATTTGCGCCAAATATCGTACACACCAAATGTAATACATTTACAGTAACAACAAGATGACAGTTAATAAAAATCTCTTGAAGCAAGACAATAAAGTTTACATGAAGAAATTTTTTTTCAATACTGATGGTAGATATAACAACAAGATGACATTTTCAGACAAAGTCATTATCTCCCGTATATCATACCTGTTTCTTCTTCTGTGTCCTGGTTTTCTGAGACTCAAACTTTTCACTGGCCTCGTACACCAGCATGGCTTTACGACTCACTGCATCCAGGTTCTTGGCGAGTCGGTAAGTGGATTTTCTCTGAGGTATGACCCTGAAATTTTTCAATCACTATATAAAAGAAACTGTAAAATCAACAAGCAAACTGAAAATGGGATTATCTTACAAAAGAGTACTATTACCTATTATGTCAATATTACCAGACACAGACTCGGCAGTGAACTTATTGGGCTTTTTTACTCATTACATCAATATTGCCAGACACATATTCAGCAGTAAACTTACTGGGGTTTTTTCCCCGACTTCTTTGTCTGCCCCTCCACCTGAGGGACAGGCTGACTCTCCTCAGAGTTCCCTCCACCCTCTGACTTCTCTCCCTGTGAGGATGACCTACTGGTCCGTCGCCTGGCAACTGGGTCACAGGTACACTCGATCATACACTCGGGTTTCCCACAATGCTGTTTGCTGGCCTTGTCAAGGTTATCGTCACAGATACAGCCCAGACGACAGTACTCCTTGGTACACTTCTTCTCTGTGTTATTCAGGTCTGCAGTCTCAGGTGATCCACCAGAAAATTTACATAGGTGACAGATACAACCATAGCGACAACCTACAAAAGGTCAAACAAGGTCATCACCATAGCAACTCCCTAGTGATAGCAAGTGATTATAGGGTTAACACAAAGGAAGAAGTCATGCACCGATCACCGTGTTCCACAGAAGGAAAAACCATCACACTTCACAGAACATAGCTATAATAACTGTACAAATTCATCTTAAATGATTAACTTTGAAATGATTGCTTTACAAAACAGGAAGTGGAAACCAAGGGTACCAGTAGCCTTGGATGGGAACCAAACAATTCCATTTTTATCATTGAAAATATTTATTATTTTTTTTATTTTAAAAAGAATTCATAAGGTTTTGTGTTCTTAATATTATCAAAATATGTAGTTTACACATTTTTAAGGTTTATTCTGTAAAAGAGTGATAAATAAAGTTTATAAAGTCTGGACTATGCATGACTAACTACAAACTACTGGTGTGTGACTAGAGTTGTGAAGTTTCTGATTGAAATGTAAGCAATAGAAGAACATACCGCTATTGTACAACACCAAAGACTCATCTGCAATCAGAAGGGCAAATTAGGCAGCAATCAAAGTTTGTATTCATTAGTACAAGTCTCTTATGTAAAAGAATGCTCCTAAATGCAGCAATGATTATAAGCAGAACATGCTAGCAACTGAATTTATCACCCACAAAACAAATGTGCTCCAGAATCTACACTTCACAATTATTTCATTTACTTTATCTGACCAAATTAAAAACTCCAGAGAAATGCCAAGTAAGTACCAAATTTGTGATTCTAAAGAATCTTTCCTTTTTTGACTTTTGCACACATGAAAAAAAAAAGCTTTAAAATTCTTCTATTAACCAAATTATTATTCTTTCACTTCAAACATTGTCAAATGAAAGGGATATCTTGAGACAAAGGAATTGTGAGAGAAAATATTTTGACTGATTACTTTATGCAAAAGGAAAAGCTAATAGAAAGTTACTCTTAAGTACATCAAGAACTTTGGTACTCTGTTGAAAGAAAGACTTCATACTAGTACATGTATTTTATTTCTGTTCATGAATTCTTATGGCATTCAGTCAAAGTATATTCCCCCTAAACCTTTTTCACGTACAAAACAAATGAATGTTATATCTATAGAAAGATAGTAGGTGAGAGACAAATACATCAGAAAAGATAAGGTGCACTGAAAAACTAAATAAAGCAGCTAGAATTGAACCCCATATTTCATTACAGACAAATCCTACAGTGAGACTGACAGCGAGTGTTAGTAGTGAAGGAGAAAACACAGCCTGATGTAACACAGCTAATCTTACCTGGCTTGTCACACATTTTGTCAAACTCCTCCCTGCTCTCCTCCGTCCTCCTATCATCAGTTTTATCCCCGACCTTCTCCTTGGCTCCACCCCTACTCTGCTGCTCAATCTCTGGATCCATCACCTCCTTTTTGATGGCTTTGACAGCCTTGGCTTTCTTCTTCCCCTTCACCACAAACTTGGGATGAAGAGCTGACAGAGCCGCGTTTGCCATGCTGCTGTTCAGGGTGATGATACAGAAGTAGTTCTTCTTCCTCTTCCTCTTCTTTTTGGATGGTGTATCCAGTGACCCCTCTGTGGTTGTATCCCCATCTCTGTCCCCCTCTTCTGTGGGTGGGGGAGTGGGAGGTGGGGGTGGGGGTAATTTCTTAGGACTCTCTGGTTTCAGTGCACTTCTCAGCCTCTGTCCTCCAAGTTTCTTCAGAATATCAATATCTTCATTATTGAGCTTCAGTTTCATCATCAGGTACTTCTTGTATTTCTCCCTTAGTTTTTTGTCCCTGACTTTTTGTTTTTCAGTGTCTAAGATTTCGTAACCCATCTCAACAAGTTCCTGACCAAAACTGTTCTCCCCTTCCTGCTGCATCTCTCCCCCCTCCATCGCCTCCTCGTCTTCTGTATGTGAGGTCAGGTCAATCTTCTCCATTCTGCTGGGGTCACCTTTAGACATCCCCTTTCTGATCGTGAACACCAGGTTCTTCCTCCTTTTCTTCTTAAGGTCCAGCCCCATCTGCTTGAGTTGCTCTGGATCGTGGTTCCTCAGAAGTCTCTCCTCTGTCCTCCAGTGTAACTTTCCTTTACTGGCTTTCATCTCCAAACTCTCTCCATCAGGACCAAACTTGTTCTTCCATCCCTTGATTTGGGTGATGTCTGATGTCTTCTTGGGAGTCTTTCCTCTGACACTGCCAGGACTCTCCTGTTCCTTTGCCATCAGCTCTAGGATCAGCTCTCTCTTGAAGACTCTCTGATACTTCAGCAGCACCAGATGCATTCCCTGCAGGCTTTGGTTGATCTTATACTGCTCCTTCAGCGCTTTTAACCTGGCATCTTTCTTCTGGTGAACACTATTCCGAATCTGATTTTGCTTCACTCTCAGATTCTTCATCCTAGCCATTCCTAACAGAATACTCTCATTCCTGCCTATTTTAGTCTTTTTCTCCACTTTAACATGTGCATTTAGTGCTTCCTCATTTGCAAAGGAAGTGAACAAGACCCCATCCACTTCATCAAACGAGGGCTCACACTGCTCGATCATCCCGGAGAACTCATCGTAATGTTCTGGCATCTCTGTCACCTCCTCTAGTTCATCCTCCGAGTCCACGAGTCGCTCCTCTGAGTCTGTCCTCTTGATGGGTCGACTGAGCTTGACCTTCCTGTTGGTCTTCGTGTCGAGGTACTCGTCCAGAACATTACTGGTGAAGGCAGACATGACGTCCTGTACCTCCGTCTCTATTGAGCTGAGGACACTTAGAGGGGTGGGTTCCTTTGTGACCCTCTGGGTGGAGGTCCTTGGTACCGGGCGAGAGGACCCGGTCTTCTCATCTGGAGGAGATAACTGATTGGAGTCCGACTCCACATCCATTAACATCTGATGTTCGTCGACCGTGTCCATCACCATCTCGAAGTCCGAGCTCCCCTTGGTGCTGTTGTGGTCTCGTCTATCCTCTCTGCTGCATGGGGATGATCTGTTCACCAGTGACACAGTAGACTTAGTGGGGCTTCTGTTGATTTCTGATTGTTTTTTAGAACTTTCACATTTATCACTGCCTTCTGACACTTTTTGTTTTTTAGGACTCTCTTCCAAAGGAATGCCCAATTTTACCTGAATTTTTTCAATCACAGATTGTTCACCCTGTAATGATAGTGATAAATTTTCATTTGCCTTTGGAGAGATATCTTTATTATCACTAGGAATTTTAGCATCACTATCAGATTTGTCACTTTCTAACTTCTCCTCCTGTTTTTCTGAGCAATCTTTCTTTCCTTTCATGTTATTTGGTGACGGATAATCTGTCATTATCATATCAAAAATGTTCCGTCTTTCCTGTGTGTCAATCAGAAGCGGAACACTGGGATCAAAAGAAGCAGAAGAGTCCGCTGTCACTTTTCCATCCAATCTCCCAGCATTCTTCATTTTGATCTGTTCATCCTCCTTCAGAGTGGTCTCTACAGTTTTGGATGACACAGTTGAAGGAAGCTCACAACCTGAATCTTTCATGGTTCCTCCATCTGCTACAGAGTTTTTCTTGATCTTGATGTTTGATAAAATGGATTCCAGTTTAGCAGAAGTTGGTTTTGTAGAAGGTTCTGCACTGGTACTTGGTTTTGGCTTTTCACCTAATGGTGACTTTGAGGTATGTTTTGGAGAGACTTTAAGAAAGTCTGCAGAGAAGAAGTCATCCACAATTTCCAGGCTTTGTGGGTTGTTCTCAGGCTTCTCACTCACTGGTTTGGGATCACTTTCATTTTTCTCATTTGAATCTTCTTTACTGTTGTCTTCTTCCTCTGCCTTCAGAAGAACTTCATCAGCAAATGTGGGAAATGTATCGGAACTCATATTGTCTTTGACTTTTGCTATCAATGAAAACAGGTCCATAGACCTAGAATTGTTGCTGTCTAAACAAATCAGTGTATCTGTGTTCTCTGACTTGGATTTACTTGAGGTTGGAGAACTGTTCGTCTGCTTTACTGGTACCTCTGGTGAGGATTTTATGGAAGCTTTCTTTCCTTTCTCTGGGGTTTTCCTGGGTTTCTTTGGAGTTGTTCCTGTCTTCTTCCCTTTCTTTGTGTCTTTAGCTTTCTCTGCTGTGTCCTCCTGTTTGTTCTCTGTGTTACTGGACTCCTCTACACTCTCATCAAACTGTAAGGCCCTGATTGCTCCGGACTTTGGACTTTTGACTTTATCCACACCTGATTTAGGACTTTTAACTTTTTCTGCTCCTAACTTCGGACTTTTGCCTTTCTGTACTTTCTCTCCCTTCTTCTTTTCAGATTTCTCCACAGATTTGGGTTTTGATTTTTCAGAGACATCTCCATCAGATTTCTTCTTTCTTTTCTTTTTGGGTTTTTCTGATGACTTCACAGATTCAGTTTCCATGTTCTCCACTACTCCATTGGTAAGCGGTTGGTCCTTGGAACTCTGTGCTAATAGAGATAGTGGCTGGCCTTTCTGTTCACTGTCCATGACTTGAGTTTTCTCTACCATGTTTTTACTTGTCTGACCTTTCTTAGTCAGTAGAGTGTAGAGTTGTGAGGTCTGGCATTCACTGGATTTCTTTACTTTCTCTGGAGAGTTTTGCTCTCTGTGACTTTCCTCTGGACCCCCTGTTGCTCCCTCCTTTTCTGCACTCCCCTTTGGAGACCGGCTCCTTCGTGGTGATTTTAATGGCAAGAGAAGAATATCATCAGAGTACCTGATATTAGGGGCCCTGATTCTTCTACCCAGCTCTTTAGAAGGTGAGAGACCAGAAGGACTGTCCACCGTTTTATTCTCTGATGAAGGAGTAGAGCATCCAGAATTGTGTAGAGAATTAGCACTATCATTGTGGTTTGTGTAGAGGTGTAACTCCTTCCCCTCCCCTGGGCTGGTCAGGCCAGTCAGGGAGAGATTCAGAGACGACTTCCTACTACAGGAGTCAGGGGATGGTGTATAAGAGGTAGAAATGTTTTCAATGTCTGTGGTACTGTGAACTATTTTCACTTTCGGTTTCTTTCTTTTGATGATCTGTTTCTCTGGGGTGCTATTTGTTAAGTCTCCATTAAGAGCTCCCTCCATGGACTTTGTGTTCTTTTTAGAGGGTGACCCTTTTCCTTTCTTTTTTCCCTGTTTAACATCCTCTGTTCCAGACTTAGTATCGCCATCACAGGCCAGTGCTGGGTCACTGACAGCTTTCTTCTTTGGTGACTGTTTCCCTGGAGATGACCTTGGACTCTGACCTTCTATGACCTTCTTTTTTCCTTTGGATTTTTGTTTTCCTGTTGATGCTGTGTTCTGTTTTACAGGGGTATCACAATAAACATCAACAGATCTGTCTTCTGCTGCCTCCATAGAAGAGTCTTTGTAAACCTTCTCAACCGGGGATTTCCTCTGCAGCCTCTTTTTCAGTTCCTCTTCAAAATTTTCTTGGTGCTGCTTTTGAATGTCTGATTGTGAATGATTCATTAGTTTATTCACATGTGAGAGTTTCACTGCTTTTAAATGATTCGGTAATGCTCTGAACACATCTTCCAGACAGACAAGCAATGTTTTACATGTCTCTCTCTTGGGTAGAGTTTTTAAAGCTTCACCCACACTGGGAAACACAGAAACCTTGTGAGGGTCGGTATTCAGACAGCTGTTGGAGACACAGGGTACGGGGTTTTCTTGGAATTTCAGATGGTGGGTTTTATGATCGTGAGGCAGTTGCTGGTTTGGTGATTGTGGTGTAGTGGATTTCGGTTTTGATCCGTTTTGTTGTAAACCATTCCTGCCTGGTTCCAGCTTTATGACGGACACTGATGGTCTGTCAGCGTATAACTCACTTCTCCCACACAAGTCTGAAACAAAGAGGAAAAGTTTTGTTACTTAACCATCACGGTAGTTGTAACTGTTTCCATACAAACTTAAATAGGAATTCATATTTTATGTGTGAATTCATGATTTACATCTATTTTTTAGTGTACTTAAAAAGTATTTTCCTCTACAACAGTAGTAAGAAAATAAGAGATTACCCAGATTACATGTACCTGTAAATGTTCTGCAGTGATTGAGGGGTTTGACTCGGAAAGGGAAGGTCAAGCCATGCCCCTTAGAGGCCTGAGCCATACTTTGTACGATTCTTTTGACTCCATGATTTCTCTAGATTCTGTTCACCTGTCAAAAGAAAGAAAGACGTTGTTAGACTGTTACAAAATCAATTTCCTTCACAATAACCTCTTTTTTTTATCAAGCTAATAATGACAATTACATATTTCATTTTCAAAAAAAAAAAAATAATATCAACTCAACGAACAAAAAATACAATACTTGAATGTCACATAAAAAAAGTTTTCTTTTAAATTATTTTTTCTTTTGCCCTATTGATTCCTTTATTCTTTAAACTCAAGTCCTTCTTTTTCCTCATTTAGATTGAAGGTGATTATGATGATGAGAAATAATGTGATTTGTTGTAACTTACAAGGAGGAGGGGGGGCTTTTCTTAACACTATTTTTGTAAAATTCATTATACAATTTTTAGTACAATTAAAACATTCAATTTGAGCCCCTTGTGGTCCATTTCTATCCCCCTGAGCCATCATCTAAAGCTAAATCTAATCACTGCACAAGGAAATGGACTCTGAAGTCTGACACCTCATAATTCTTATAGTTACAATTCAATGATTTTTCATCTGCAGAATGTGTAACCTAGTTTTAACTTGTTCAGCATTGTGTAGCGGTACATTTAATTCGTAGACAAATAGCATAAAAAAAAAACAACAAAAAGAAAACAAAACAAAACAACAACTAAATTTTAAAACCTGAAATGTTAGATCTATTGAAGAGATTAATTACTGCTATACTACTGCATGCATTACTCTTCTAAAAAGGCATTCTGTACCTATAGCATGTCATTAATTCTAACATTCAATCAAACTGATTTTCCCCCCTAGGATTCGAGTAAAAAAAAAATATCAAAACAATAAAGTAGAAATATTTCTGTTGCTTAAAAAGACATACTCTACCATTGAGGAAGTAGATTTCAGAGTTTGTGTTTTCCTATTTATAGCCTAACATTTTTAATTTACTTCCTTCATTGAACATTCTTTTAAATTTATTAGACTGATACCAGGCGATTAAACACCGCTTCATTTTGACATGTTTTGTCTCGTTAATCTTCCGAATTTGTTTTATAATTAGCATGATAATATTTTATGGAGTAATTGCATTTCAAAAAAAAAAAAAAAATAGATTCAACAGAATGCTTTAAATTCAATGTGGGCGTTTTTAAATCAATATAAAGTCAGAAGTTTCTTGAATATTTAAATTATAAATTTAAAGTTTGTCTTATAAAATCAAAACAGCACTGGTCTTAAGTAGATAACTGCATGTCCACAATAAGTACTATAACTGCATGTAAAAGAATTAAATGTTTGAGAAATAGACCTCATAGATATCCTTAGGGATAATTCTCAAATAAATCTTGTAAATAAAATGTCACCATAGGGCGATTCTGGCTGGTGTCTCGGAATTAACTCCATCTAAGTATGCATGCAATATCGTCATTGATAGCAAAGACCAAAAAGAAATGACAGTTGCATAGAACTAACATTAACTTATCTATTAATTAATCATTTCAGGATCGATCTGTGAAGAATTTGTGGATTTTCCAGATGGAAATGAAATCAATTAATTATTACTAACAGTGCATTATAAGTATACCACATTAATAATAATTTATACTACCCATATATGTAAAAAAAAAAATATGTTCTAAATTGTGTCATAAAACATTAAAGTGAAAACAACCTAGAGGTTTTAGAATGAAAATATATGGAAATAACCAACAGTATTCAAGCTTAACAGTCCATTAAACAATACAAAATTGGAGCAAATCAAACACAGACCTCCAAAACATGAGAGGTGGGATCAAGTGCCATGGAGGAGTGAGCATCCCCTGCTGACCAGTCACACCAGCCATGTGCTCCTTGTCATGATCGGGAAATAACAGAAAAATCTGTCCACAAGTTCATTGTGTATATTAAATGGCCTAATAATTAGCCTAGTATGAAAAACGTCAGTCAGCATATAACTTAATGATAAATCGTATTTGCTGACAAGGTTCAGGTAAGTTTAATAACTAACTGTAACACAATGTCAACTTAGCCATTTAAATTATTTCTTTATACTGGTACAGCATTGTTAGATGACTTTCTTCTTTTAAAATTCATTGAATTGTGTTTATCTTAAAAAATTATCTCAATCCTTTACACCCTTCAAAACAATACAATATCTATCTCCTCCCATTCACCACCCCTGTGTTTTATATAGGTGTTCCATCAGTGAAGTCTGTGACAGAGTCACAAGAATTTTGATTTGCTGGACATTTTGTTTTGTTCAAGTTATGGTTGAACTATGATGGTGGGATTACCAATTTATTTGAAATTCCAATATGTATTTATCAGTATGGTTTTGTGATGGTGCTGGCATAATTATAACAAAATTATAATGAACATGAGATAATTACTGAATAAGGATGTATTTACAACTTCAGCAGCTAGTGTCAACTGAGATTATTTAATCATAGATCTACCATGAACAGAAAGAATGATTGTCTCTTTTTCTTTCGTTAACTTATTTGGATAGATATGTGTAATGAATTACAGATGTAGCAGAAGTATATTTGTAGGTCCCGACAACTTTCCTATAATCAAGTCTTATGTACAACTCAAAACAAAATGTGTTTGTAAAACACTATGCGCCCGGTGGCAACAAAGTTCGAAAAGCTATTTTTTTGCATGTAGGTCACAGTCAAGGTCACAAGGTCATTGATCTTGGTGTCATTTAACAGAGTTTAATTAGTGGAGTATTCATGCCAAATATGAAGTCTCTATCTCTCACAGATCAAAAGTTATGGGGAAGGTTAAAGTTGACAACAGACAGACAAACAGCTAAACAGAAAGACAGGACAAAAAAAATATACACCCAGATCCAAAGGCAGATTCAGGGCCGGCAATTTTGCCTATATCGTTCAGTGTAAAACTTGGATTCCAAATTGAGTCATGATTTGAACAATGTACAATCTACACTACCCCAGGATGCTTCTACATAAGTTTCAGCTTTTCTGGCCCAGTGGATTTTGAGAAAAAGATTTTTCCTATATAATTCTATATTAAACTTTGATTCCCTATTGTGGCCCCGCCCAACCCCTGGGGGTCATGATTTGAACAATTTAGAATCTACACTACCCTAGGATGCTTCCACATAAGCTTCAGCTTTTCTGGCCCAGTGGTTCTTGAGAAAAAGATTTTTTAATAACCCCACTCTATTTTTGCATTTTCCTTGATTATCTCCCCTTGTGAGGGGACTTGGCCCTTTATTTTAAAAATTTTAACTTTCCTTCACCCAAGAATGCTTTGTACCAAATTTGGTTAAAACTGGCTAGGTGGTTCTTGAGAAGAAGTTGAAAATGTGAAAAGTTTACACACAGACAAACAGACAAATGACGGACAAAATGTATTCAGAAAAGCTCACATGAACCTTTGGCTCAGGTGAGCTAAAAAATCTATATGTATCTAGGTAGTAGGAGAAAATTGCATGTTATTTATACTTTATGGTATTTTAGTTCTTTTACTTAATTATTCTTTAAATTAATCACATCATTATTTGAAAAGCTTGTCATATATTTGCTTTCCTCAAATGGTATCAAATTACAAGTTTATTGTCCATTCTCAGAATAGCTTTTATGTTACCAAGTTTACTGATGGATTCAATAGTATCAATGTAAGATTATTATTGATTTATAATTTGGAATGCTTCTATATATACATTATTTCAATAAGGAGATGGGTGAACATGACGAGAGATAAGCCTATAGCACAACAAACATGAAGGTGAAAAATTTAACCTCAATTATATCAAAATTTTCCTTAATATTTCATCTAACATTAAAGTATACTTTATGTAAAATCTCTACAACTTGCACAAATTTCATGAAGATTGAAGTTATTTGCCTATGAAATATTATACAGACACGAAAGAGGACAAAACGAGTCATTTTTTCACACTATAACACTATTTTTCGATATGAGTGGGTCTTCTCTCCATTTTTTGTAAAGTTAATCCTCAAAGTTTGCATACATACATATTTTGGTTTCCAAAATTATGGAGCAAAGGCCCACTATACCTTAAAAATATAATTTTATGACATAACTTTCGTATCTCTTAAAAAAATACTTAAAGTCCAATAAGTCAATGGTCATATAACAAACATGATTTAAATGCCACTCTTCAGCAGGACATGTGTAGAGTAGTGGTTAGCTACTCCTACAAGTAAGAACCTCCATTAATGTCCCTACGCTCTTTATGTTACGCGGCGCCAAGTCAAAAGTATCTCGCCTTGAACCTCTAGCATGCTGGAGTAAGTGGTTAGCATGATCAACAGAGAATCCAATTTAGGATTTTTATTGCCAGGGTTCGAACCCAATGGATACCACATTATAGTTTTTAAAAAAAAGATTAAGTTTTAATGAAAAATTTTCCTAAAAACTTTTTGTTTATCATGCTTTCATAAAAATCAATAAATAGAACTTTACTCTAAATACTAAATTCACAATTTGAATGTGATTTTTATTGATCTGAAGCTTGTGTGCTCTCTGCACGCTAAGTTCACCATCTCCTTTGTGTATATTTCATGTATTTATTAACCAACTACAGGTTTTAAGTACATACATTCTCAAAGTAACACTTTGATATCCCCTGTTTTTGTGTGTTTGTGTGTGCTTTTGAAAAGCAACCGGTATAAATGTCTTCTTTTTTTTTTGATTGGTTTTATGATGTATATAAATTATATCAATTCATTAAATGTCTTAATTTTAATGCTTTCAATCAAATTCAATGCAAATCATTGCTTTGAAGACAGGCACAGACAGTCCGACAGTCTGAAGACTTCTAGTTCCTAAGTTGACAGACACACAGACAAGGTGGCTAAACCAGATTATGAGATAGTGTTGCTTCATTAAAGAACAGACACACAGACAATGTCAAAGAACCAGAGAGTGTTGCTTACTTAGTGGGCAGACCCACAAACAATGACAAGTGTTGATTTCTCATTGGACATACAAACAAGCACCAGTGTTGCTTTATTATACAACAGATACTGACAGACACACAGACAAGGACTTGTGTTGCTTACTTTGTGGACAGACACACAGACAAGGACTTGTGTTGCTTACTTTGTGGACAGACACACAGACAAGGACTTGTGTTGCTTAGTAAGTGGACAGACACACAGACAAGGACTTGTGTTGCTTACTTTGTACACAGACAAACAGACAAGGACTTGTGTTGCTTACTTTGTGGACAGACACACAGACAAGGACTTGTGTAGCTTACTTTGTGGACAGACACACAGACACACAGACAAGGACTTGTGTTGCTTACTTTGTGGACAGACACACAGAAATGGACTTGTGTAGCTTACTTTGTGGACAGACACACAGACAAGGACTTGTGTTGCTTACTTTGTGGACAGACACACAGACAAGGACTTGTGTTGCTTACTTTGTGGACAGACACACAGACAAGGACTTGTGTTGCTTACTTTGTGGACAGACACACAGACAAGGACTTGTGTTGCTTACTTTGTGGACAGACACACAGACAAGGACTTGTGTTGCTTACTTTGTGGACAGACACACAGACAAGGACTTGTGTTGCTTACTAAGTGGACAGACACAAATATAAGGACAAGTGTAATTACTTTCACATTATCATTTTCAACAGACACACTGACAAAGACAAGTGTTGCTTTCTAAGTGGACTATTATAAGAACCAGTGTTGTTTTTTTTTAAACTTATTAATGCTAAGAGTGTATTTTCATTAGAGAAGTGGACAGCTTTCACCATGGATGTAGGTGAAAGCCTGTCCACTACTCTAAAGAGAATACCTAAGAATGATGTAAAAGCATGTGGCCAAGATTTAATAGTTTTCCTAAAAATGCAAAAGAAATATATTAATCTCATGTTTTACATGTATATAACTTTATATATGGTTATTTAATAGATATCTATATCGATAAAAATAAAAATGATCTTTTATTAATTTAAGAGAGAAAAAAAAAAAGACTTACACTTACATCTACAAAAAAGTCTTACTTGTTCAATAAACCTTAATTTATAATTCATATCAATTTTTTAATTGAACAAACTATCATTAAACTTTTTCCCCTTAAAATATTAATCTATGAATAACATACAAATATCATTATACGAACTCGGTTAAAGTATTAAGAAGACTTTACCTTCATTTAATCTGCATAAAAAACAACAAAAAAATCTTCACTTTATATAAAATAAAAGTATAATCTCCTTTTACTTTTAAATTAATGAAAAATTGGGTAAAACTCATCTTAATCATATAAATATAGAGAGAGCATGATCAATCACTATACATAAAGCTTTCAATTAAGACACATATCCAGGTTCATTTTGAAATGACAAAGGGACACAGATTATCAATCATATTCCAATAACTATGTTTAATGTTTGTTAGCTTCATATGTGAAAAAATAGAAATTAGATATAAAATGCACATTTAATGTTTGATATGATAAAGGAAAATAAAATGTAGGTTTTAAAAAATTATTTTTCTTAAACATGGCTTATATAAATGATGTGCAAGTTAATATACTAAAATGGTGGAACTTCCATCTAGTAAAAATAACCAAGAACCTACTTCAATGTTTATAACATGATCAAGGACAAATGAAGGTCTATAATATCATGAATCCTAAAATAATCATCTTACATAACCAAAATTGTTGTTTTATTATGTTTTTCTTTCCATTCTTACAGTTCAAATCTATTTTCAGACAGACATGCCCTCCCCTGTTACTTCGCGGGTTATAGGGACACGTGATTCAATATGCAACAATGATACGCACTTTGGCTTTTAACATTTTCATAACACAAAATAAATCGTTTTGTTTCGTACCGAAACTTTCGAAATTACAAACAAATCTATAATATTTTGATAATTAAATATCTTCTCCTTCTTTTTGCAAAATTTCAAGTTTCTGCGTGCCCTAGAAAAGATGAAAATCGTTTAAAATATTTAGGACCGTATTGATGCATAAACGCGCCCCGATATCGTCTGTTGCTAGTGATTTCTATTCGCTTTAAATAACAGGTTTGTAGTCTTTTCTATTTGAGCTTCTAGTGTTTCGTTATTTTTCAAATACACGAGAAAAGCATAAAGCAAACATAGTACGTAAAAGCAAAGGTGCAAAGACGGTCGCAATAATTAAATAAGGAGGAAATGTATGTCCCTACTAAACTTACTTTTTTTCCGCCATCTTGTAGATAGAGAGAATGTGTAGCGCATTGCAGCATGGGTAAACCGAACGGGGTTCGCGAGGACACGTGGATAATCACATGACCCGCTCTGGTAAAAATAACTTCGTTAATCATAACAAAGGTACAAGTTACTAGGAAATCAGGTTTTATTTATAAATAAAAACAAATCTACTCATCATATGGGATTGGTTTATTGATAATATCATGCTAGAACCCCTGTATTATTGAATCCCGAGATTTTGTTATGGTCAGCGATCAATGGATGGTGTTATTTGAAGAAATTTCCGTCGATATTGGTTTGCATTAGTTTAGCAGTTCAGTGCGTGACCTATATAAAGTCTGGGCTGCTTTCACAATCTGTGACATCTTGTGTATGCAATTTATACAACATATTGAGTAGCATTAATTTCATTTTCTTAAAATCACTGTATGCATAAAAATGTTCTTGTAAAATTTGCATACTTGCATGTAACAAATAAGAACACGTGGATTCAATAGACATAAATATATACAAGTCGGTTCTGGACAGGGTCTAATAATAGATTTACTGGGTGTGCATTTTTATCTAATTAGGGTCTGCATAAAATACCGATCTAAACCAGTATCACACATACGTTACAAGCCAAGCACATGTGCACAATGTATACGTCCATGACAATGCATGTTAATCGTTGAAAATTCAGATAGAGAGAGGGAAGGGAGAGAGAGAAGAAAGAACATATCCTGTTGCTTTGTCTCGGGATATAATCAGTTTATAGAGCGCCTGAAGTATCCGGATTTACTACAATCATACAACAGATCAAGCTTGAAGTCCTATATACTTGGGAACTTACAGCATTTACGACAAATATATATGTAGTTCCAGATTATAAGGACTATATGTACAGTTATATACAGTATATATTGAATTGTGTAATCTTTATTGACTTGTATATGTATACATGTATGTATGTCTTTGTTTACGATCGTTGGGCGGATTTCTCTCTCTCTCTCTCTCTCTCTCTCTAAAATTTAGCAATAATTAACTTACCCTGTCAAAACACTAATTTAAAAAGTATCACCCTTTTGTATGGAATGCCCTGATCTGACAGGTGTGTAATCTGAGATATCTCACCTGAGATAACCTGATAAAAGTTCTAAAAATATATTGAATCCCTTATTTTCATCAAAAGTTAGTAATATTTCTTGTCAAATTTTTATGTCTATGAAATAGACTAAAATTATAATTATATGTGTTTTCCTCTATTTTTTTTTTTTTTTTTTTTTTTGAATTTTAATATACATCATTTAAAAAATATTTCACTCTATTATATTATTTGAACTTTTTTGAAATATGATCATGGCAAGTTATTTTTAAGATTGATCTTTTTTGTACTTAGGCTTAGCCCCCCCCCCCACTTTTTTGCAAATATATACAAAATATAGGCATTGAAAATTGGATTTTCCCTTTTTTCGTTGGTTTACCCCCCCCTGCTTTCAATTAGCCCCCCACTTTCAATTTGCTTCCGACGCCTATGTTGTATATCTTTATTTGTAGCTCTTCTTCAAAAGGAGTTCAATATCTAAAAATGATCACAACCACCGACCCTCTTAAAAGTTTTAAAGAAAAAAAACACTCTGAAAGAATCGGGGGAAATCGATTCTGCATTTTGTGTAACGATGGGATGTTCCCCCTTTATTATAATGTATCGATATAACCCCCTCCCAGTAATGTATGCCTTTTGCAGTTACTCATTTGGTTATTCTTATTTCCAAAAGGATTGATCCGTAAGTAATGTTACGACAAATCTAATGGGCATATAAAATGTAATTAATAGTTAGTCTTTAACATTTGATATACCTCTATTTTTTCCATTTTGAATTTTGCTTTAAAAAAAAGATGTGTTTGTGAAACACTGATGCCCCCGTGATGGCAGATACTGATGGCAAAGATTTCAGGGGTCCATTTTACAAAAGAACTTAATTACAACTAAGACCGAAAACTTAGTTTAAAATTGTTAAAGTAAAGATATTTACTACATTCCCTTTTTTTAAAGATTAAAACCATTATCAATTTATAATTTTAATTAGAAAATGAGATGCTTGCAATGAAATTTTGGTCTTAGTCGTAAGTTCTTTTGTAAAACGTGCCCCCCCTTTCTCAAATTCAAGTCAAACTCCAAGGTCAAGGTCAATTAATTATTTTTATTGTTGTTGTCCAAGGAAGATCTTATCACAAGGAATATACTTGTGAAATTTAAAAGCGCTAGTACTAACGTTTTCAAAGTTATGACCAAGATTAAAGTTATCAAAATCATGTCAAACTCTAGGGCCAAGATCAAAAATATTTACTCCCATGGAAAGGTCTTGTAAGATAAATATGCATGTGAAATACGAAAGCCCTATAGCATCAACTGTTCAAAAGTTATGACCAAGGTTAAAGTTTGGTAATTTTTTGTAGCTTGAGTAGATAAAGGTTAAGGTCAAATCTACGTATTTGTACCCGAGGACTTGTTCCTTTACAAATAAAATGTGTTCTTGAAACACTGATGTCCCCGTAAGGCAGCTAATGGCGAGGGTAGAAGCTTCTCAATTTTTCACCTTGACCTCAGAGTAAACTTTTTAAAAATTTTAACCTTGTCCATAACGTTTGAATAGTTAACTCTAAGACTTCCATATTTCACAGTGTGTTCTATCTATGTGACAAGTCCTTCCCTTGGATATCAACAATTTTCATCTTTTGACCTTGACCTTTGAAGTTTGAGTTGCAAGTTTCTTAAAAAGTGGGTCAAAAGGTCAATGTCAAAAATATCTATACCCATTGAAAGGGCTTGTCACAATGAGTACACAGATGAAGTTTGAAAGCCATAGCACCAACTGCGCAAAAGCTATAATCAAGGTTAAAGTGTGTGTAGTAATTATTTGTAAAAGTGGGTCAAACTCCAGATCAAGATCAAGAGGTCAAATTTGGTGTAACCAAAGAAAATTCTTGTAATGCATAGGGAATACACCTATAAAATAGGGAGAGGGCTAAAATAGGCACTGCCTGCTGCCCAATCCCATTCACTTTTATTTATGAATAAAATTTTGTACAGGTCCAGTACAATGCCGATAAAGGTATATACCAGGTAGCTTGATAAAACTATATAGCTTTATCAAGGTATTACAAATACCTTGATTAAGGTATTTTATGTGACAAAAATTTAAAAATATCTTTAAAAAACAAATATTGAAATAAACTCCGACAACTTTCAAAGAGTTATCACAGAGAAAAAAATTAGAAATGGAAATATAAAGGTATATACCAGGTAGCTTGATAAAACTGCACTTTACCTTGATTAAGGTATTTTATGTGACAAAAATTTAAAAATATCTTTAAAAAACAAATATTGCACAAGTCGAGTTTTAAATTAAATACTGAAAGTCGAGTATTGAGTGGTTGTCAGTAAATTCACCCATGTATGAAAAGTACTCTGGTATCAAAAAGACAGCATAAAAGAGCATCTCCTCACACGACATGCTTTTATACTGATTTCTTTGTGTTTTAGTAGTGACAACAACTCAGAACTCGACTTTCAGTATTTAATTTTTAAAGAATATTTTTTGAATTTTCATTACATAAAATACCTTGATCAAGGTATTTGTAATACCTTGATAAAGCTAGCTTTATCAAGCTTCAGACCTTCATCGGGGTATTGTGCTGGACCTGTTGTATAAATAAAAAAAATATGAATGCAAATGCTCAACCCATTCAAAAGTTATAGGCAAGTTTAAAGTTCTTGCCGACAAACAGACAGGCAGATAGACAGACAGATATACGAACATACGAATCATCGGTAACGAGGACATATAAATGCGCATGTGACGCCAACCAATCAAAAGTTACGGTCAAAGTTAGACGAACGGACAAATAACGTTGTTTTGGTGTGGCAGTAGACGAAACCTAAACTTTTATTTGCCACATCTGCTTCATTTTTTAATATTTTACAGACTATTGACGTCAAAAGACAACTAAACAACTAAAACTCAACTTCTTTGGCAAACGGAACGTCTTCAACTACTACTATTTCATCGTCAACTCTCCTTATTTGTATAAAAATCCCATTAGCAATTGCATATGATATTTTTGTCTCCATATTGATTCAATGTTTTCAATAATATGCGTCTTTCGAGTACGATCAATTTCAGGCTGCTGACAAACAAAATGATGTTACAGGGTTTTCAACCGATACATCCATTTTTCCTTGTCTTCATATGAAGATGGGTCCTGCCGTCTAGGCGTGCAGGTCTGTCGACAGAGGGATGCTTCCTCCTCCTTGACACCTGACCCTATAGCCTGATCACCTGAGCTTGTGTTTCCAGTTGTTTTTAATCAATGGAGTATTCCGTCGTACCAGTATTCTTCACTGGGCTTAAGAGATTCATCTACCTCTTTGTTCATTGCAATATAAATAAAATTAGATCTGTAATCCACTCCAACTAAATCACTGTAGAACGATCTAGTTGGGGCGGATCAAAGATCTTATTTTAATAAGGTTGTGTTCATCGCAATCTATAATTTTCTTCTTTTTAAAAGTATAACATGTATCGAAGCGAATATTTCAGATAATAATCAAATTACATAATAGTCCAAATATATAGTGGCAAGTGTATACACGTACAAAATTCTGTTTTTCCTTCCTTTTGATAAAGATATTACGGCGGTTGTGAAAATACTTCTGGATCGACCTTATTGTGCCTAATGCACGAGGTTTTGGTGTCCACGTTGCCAAATTATATCAGGATGACTAAAGCATACAGTTCATTCGTATTTTTTCTGTGAACAACTCCTTGGTTGACAATGAAGATATAGAAAAGTCTGTTATATGTATGTTTACTCGCTTGGCAACATATAATATAAGAACCATGAGATTGACAAAGTAGTCCACATACAAATACAATGACCATAATGTATATCCATATATCACAAAGCATATGTAAGTATATTGTAGATGATAAATGATACAGTCACATACACCAAAAGTACACAAGATTCATGATCCTACAAGCTGAAGTCATGGCTATTCTAGT